TCAATGGAAACGTCAGCTCGACTCATATCATTGTGGGAAAATTCTTATTCTACCAGTCCTTCATCACCTTAAACGAAATTTGGTGAATACATCTCATATTACTGATTTATTGGTAGTCACGAAAACAATACTTAATTCGAAAAACATGTAAGTCAAGTTACGTAACCGCTGGTCTTACTCTCTCGGTCTAGGGTCATCAAGGTTTAACCACCCAAGAAAAGACATGACAGGGGGTGCGTAATCTCCTAAGTCTGGTTTGGTTGCTGTGCTTAATCTAACATGTTGTACGAATGTGAGTGAAGCTAGAACCATCACCGATCAGGCAAATTGAGTCACCTTCTTCTGGACGGCGGCTCAACACCCTCTCTCTCCTTCAATCTTTCAATCAGGCAAAAGTAGTTCCTACTCAACTTTCTACCACCGTTCATCAAACTCAACGGATTTCCTAATCTATTAATTTTAATAGCCTCTCGTATATTCCTTTTAACAGCCTACTCGTTTGTGACAATCATATCCCATGTCCGGTCTCTGGCCTGCCTGTTCGTCCACTTCTGACCGTTGGACCCAGCTTCCTTTTCAAGCATTTTTCCCCACCCAATCTTTGTCCAATATGCTGGCTTGTCGCACTAACATAAGTTGGACCACAGGAGCACAATCTTGTAGCATCTGCGTCTCGATAATGGGCCATATTTCGCTCTATAAGATGGCATAACAGAAGAAAGTGTGAAGATTTTTTTAGACACTGTTTTGGGATCCCACTTTGTCACTGGTTCTCCTATCTTTTTTGAAGGAATGCTTAACGATAAACTTGGGCTATGAGAAAAGGTCTCCTATCGTCTATCCTTGACTAAATAGTCTCCGTCTAAAATGTTTTCTTCAGTAATGAGATATTATTAACAATTTAGCCCAATTGATAATTAGTTTCCACGACTACATTTTTCAGCCGTTCCAACTCTTTAGTCAAATGTTTGATAGCTGCTAGTATCACACTAATAATAATCATTGATTTAAAAATTCCAACCTTAATTGTGTAACTATGGTTAGAAAGAAAATTGGGAAAAGATAAACCATGGGGTAGTTCCTAACTTACACTTTTCTCTAATGATGAGAACATCCAAAAAGGGTAAGAACATATTCTCTTCCATTTTCATTGTGAACCTAACGTTGCCTTCCCGCTGGTTGAGTGAAAGTAGAAAATTATCTAAACTTTCCTTACCATGAGGCCAGATGACAAAATAGGCTTTCGGTTGTCTAACCAACAATTTGGGGGTTAGTATTGCCTCTTCCTGGAAGCGTTTCTCAAGTCGTGTTATATACTTGTTCACCAAGATGGAAGATAGGCAAGATCGCACCCCAAGTCTTTGTGTCTGTTCGTTTAACTTGCCATCAAGGTAAAATAGATGCTATTCACTGATCGGTTGAGAAATCTCGCTGTGGACGCTACGCTCAACCTTATTTCTTATGCGATCTCTGGATGTGCCCCTACAGTTCAGACCACTGTATGACTAAAATAAATAATGAAAATATCGATACTGGCATACCTTTTATTTCGTTTGAGATATATAAAGTGAGTAGGATATCACCTGACCACCTTTCTTGGTTTAGTATTTTTGATGATAGTGCATGCTGGTTTCTGGTTCTGACGATGTCCGTGACATGACGGACAAAAACTCAGCACTGAGTCATCGGGGTCGTATGATGGTGACTCGAGGTCAGCCGACAACAGTCCAAGGCAACCCTCCTTCGGTATTCGATCAGGCCAATCTACGAATTCTTTCCACTCACCTTCTCAAACGAAACGGAAGTTATGCCAGCATTAATCTACTAAGCGATTCTACGAAACCCAACTTCTCTTCATAATGAAAATATCCTTCTAGTCTAGCCATTTTGTCTTAATTACTGTATGTTTTTCATTGGATTACTGACATTTATACCATAATGCACAGCCTCTCACAATCTTTTTCACTTCAGTCATTCGGTATACAATCATCTTGTTTATAATATATATTAAATTAATAAACGGTAATTAATTTACTTGTGTCTAATCTCGTCTCGGCCAAATTCCATTATCTTTTCTTACTTCCTCTTAGGAACCCCATCCACGTCGGCAGTCATTTGGAGACTGGCTCTACTCTCATCTCATGCACAGCAGTCTGCCAGTTATTAACGCTTGTCTGCTCGGTCCGTCGCGTCTACGCAGACCTTCTCGCATTTGTGGAGTGTCAAAGTCGTCTCGGCCTCCCTACTTGGCCATTCCTTTGCCATGCACCTATTCAAAGTGAGCAAATCGGCCTAGTTTCGACAATTTTGCTTGAATGGCTTTTCGTGTTGTCTCGCAATTTCATGCAACAATGAATTGGTGGCAACTTGAGCTTTGTACTTCGGTTGATGGGCAGATGGATGATTATACAAATGGGCATAATCTGGGAAATACATATAAAACTGTGTGGCGAGACCAAGATGCAACACTTGCTTGAGAGCAGAATAGATAAACAGATAGTCAAGTAGAGATGCAAATGGAAACGGCAAGTATAAACCACCTAATCGAGTGTTGTCATGGTAATTATATAGAGATATAAATCCATAGATAACCAGGTATCCACTTTTATACATATGCATAATCATGCCGATGTGTTTAGCCACAGGTAAACAAGTAAACAAAAGGACATACATGTCTGTCAAAATAACGAAGGTGTCTGGTAACTATCAGAAATGAAATCCACTTTTTAGTTGAGGCATTCCAAACTTATACGAAATGTATTCACCATATTTCTTCTCAGGCGATGGGAGATAGTTGAATTTTCCCACAAAAATGTGAGATCACATTTCCATTGGATTTCACATAGCATTGCTTTCCCAAAAGTTAGTATCATCCAGGATGGACGGCAAATTCGATCACTCCCAGGTGACATTAGCAACCCCAGCAGGACTTGAACCATGGTAGTGCAGCGTATACTCACGACACGTTAACCACTAATCCACATCACCAGAAGTACCCTTCATCGACAATCCCACACAGAAAGTAATATGGCAAAATGCCCTAGCTTTCTATGAAACTCACATCTGCCCCGTCACCTAAGGGCATTCGTGGCAATGCGACTTACTTATTAGCGTATCGAGATTATATTATTCACTGTCATGGCTCGAGTCCCGCTTGGGATAACAGGGCTATGTGAAATCCAATGGAGGCATAAGGTCTACTCATAGGATTGTGTGAAAATTTAACTACCAGTTCTCTTGTCATCTTACCCGAAATATGGTGAATAGACCTCATAAATATGATCTACTGGTTGTCTCGAAAGCCTACTTATAAATGAAAAATTACTAATTTATTTAAAAGAACAGTAACATCTCGCTTTGCATCTCCATCAATATCTTTCTTCCACTCAACGGCCTTTAATTCTATTTTTATTTAATTCTTGATTTTGAGCCAACTAATC